TTTGAGCATCAGACACGAGTTTCCACGTTGGGAATCGTTCGGGAGCACCGAGCAACATTTGTCACGAACAGAGATTCCGGTTATTTCTTTGGTAGAGAAGACATTAGATCTCTAGAATACATAGAATTTGGATAGGATTTCTTTAGAATATCTTTAGAATACATAAGAAAGAGAAATTCATTAGAATATCTCTAGAATACATAGAATTTGGATAGGATTTCTTTAAACTACGAGTGCATTTGTTTCTATGTTACTATTTAGCTACTTAGTAGGTAGGATATTTATGAAAATATCATACCTTCAGATTGAGTTTCCCTCCGTGATCCTTTACTTTATGATATTTCTTTCATATTTCTGCGACTTCAAATTCTTTTTTTTGTAAATGTATAACTGAACTGTCAAAGAAACTAAATTTAATAAATTATTACATATAACTAAAAGACTCTTACCTTCTCAATTGTAATTGTTAAGTAGAGTATTATAAATGCATAAAAATCCTCAGTTCCAAGATATAATTTAATTCTTTAAACGTTACGTTCAACCAAATAAAATGAGCTTGTATCATTATTTTCTGTTGCAGATCGTGTCAGCAAATTTCAAGAATTTCATTTCCAGCGTGTCAAGGTACCTCCCTCTTAAAAATGTAACATCAAGTATCGATGGTGTAGCCTGTGATCAGTGTTGGAATAAGTCTCGAGTGTCAGTGCGTCTGAAAAGAACCTTAGAGAAAATTTCTCTCAAATCAATTAGAACATTTTTGGAAGAAACAGTGTTGAACAGTGGAGGGGTTGCCCGCTTATTGGGAGGATCTAGCCGTGCAGCATAGTATAAATGCAGCTGCAACGGCCAGCATTTTTATGAATTACGATCTGGATAAGCCCAGGATGGTCTCACACGTCATTCCCGTTGCTGGGGTAATTTTTAATCTTAATTTACAATTTAATCTACATCTGAACTCGCGAAGGATCGTAAAACGTAATCCATTTCAGTTATGGTGTTCCGTCGATTTTACTGTAATATCACTAGACGTAGAGATCCATACGAGAACAGTATAAATTCCATAATTTGCGAGGCAATGAATTTTCCTACATTTCCACGATTTTTCAAACGAACGTGTTCGTGAATATTCAGCTGGAGTGATAGTTGAGAGTTAAGTAGCGTCGCTTATCGTCGCACGCGAGGGAAGAAAAAAGAGAAAAGTGGAGGTCGTGACCTCGAAAATTTCGCAATTATATACGAACTGCGTCTTCGCTGAGTATTCTCAATCCGTTCCCGTTTCCATTCCCAAGTACATAATCGTTGTTCTCCTGTTTCTTCTCATTCAACGTTTAAAAATTCCAGCAACGCAGAATCGTATTAATCAAATATACATATTGCCCGTGTAGAGTTTACTGAATAATGCTCTCTTCCATGAATGAACTTATACTTGATTCAGCCAGCCGGATCGATTGGACGTGGTTTAGATTTACAAAAGTGAGCCGGAGAAATCGATAGAAGCTCCTCTTACTATGGCTGATAATCTAAATCCAGGCCAGTTGTACGAGCGATTCAGTACCGACTTAAATTAAACCAGTATACGAAGCCAGAATACGATTATTAGGTGATTATGCGACGATTAGTCTGGCGCAGACACGCGAACTAATTATTCAAAATAAACGAACAAGTTGATAAGCCGAAGGAAAAGCAGAGAAGCTTTTATCGAGCCGACGATAAGAGACGTTGCCTCTCACGTCGTCGACCTATGCTGATCTCTTCTGCTTGCAGCCTGATTTCCATTGGCTGGGATATTGGTGCACTTGCTAAAAGGAACAAAGTAAAATCTTTCACTCATTCTTCAATACTTTATCATACGTTTTATTACATAAGTCTTTTGGATAATTATAAATCTAAATTAATCTAAACTTATTAGGCATTGAAAGCACTGAAAATTGAATAATTATAAATGAGAAAAATCAAAATTTACTTACGCTCGTAACTTCAATCCACAGTCAATTCTAAAATCCAATATCAAGGCATGATCACAACCGTATACTGTGTCCGAGGTCTCAAGTTACATTTTAATAATATAATTCAATCATAAATTTGTACAATAGGTTTATTTTTCGATCCTGAAGTTATTCATTTGCTAGTTTACAGGAGTGATTTGTAGGCCTTCTATCTTTAATGGCGTTGAAGCGTAAATAAACTGAGCAACAAGTTAGAAACAATAAATTAATTCTTGTTTATTTACTTGCGAAGCACCAGGGATTCTCATCAACTTTCAACCACAAATTGGAAATCATTATTTTTCAAACTTTCTAGAAACAGCAGGGAATCGTGAATCTTTGAATATTTTTATAATAGAGAGAGCAATTAGCTTTCGCATAGTATATACAACTAATTCCTTCCATCTGTTAGAGCCTTTGTAAGCTCTTGAAATAGTCCTTCTAGCAAGTACATTAGTATTAATGCATCTAAACACCCAAAGTCTCGACTCTTTGAGGAATCCATCGGCTGGCTATGCCGGTTCCTTTTTTTCACCCGTTTAAAGCGTCCACCGGTAGCGACAGAGACCAAGGAGCTTAATTTAATGGCTGTCTAGCGAATTAACGAGGTGGCCACGTGTCTTGGTTAGCCGACTCGACGGATTTCTTGAGAACGTTTCTCAGTGTCAACCGCTGATGCACTTCTGTAGTACGTCTCGCACAATGTCTGTGTATCTTGCAAAGTACACTTGTCAGCCTTAGCGCCACCATAGGGATAATTATGACCTGCGAGACGAGTAAATTGTAAATCATTTCAATCAGTTTTAATCTCTAAGTAAACGCCCCTTTGTAACTAAATATCATATTCCTTTGATTTCTTCTTGCAGAAAGGAAAGTATCTCTCCATGGAAATCGTTAAGCAGCTTCTCTTAAGCACAAAAATTTAATACATACAATTAATAAGAGAAAGGTCGTTTAAATGATTCGCTTAAGAAAGGAACAAAAGAAGAACATACTTCTTCGGGGATGTTTAATGAATTTTCGTCAAGTACACCGGTGCAAACTAGACGTCGTAAAGCCGGATCGCAAATTAACGATCTAGCGAGATCGTAAGTTTCGCGTGGCATAATACGATGTCACAACACCGGGCCGGTGTTTGTAAGCTTCCGGCGACGGCACTTCAAACATTGCCAGCTACGAGCCAGAAGCCTCTTTGGTCCGATCTCTCTCGGTGGATGTGCCGCGTCGTTCATGTCGTTCACGAGACTTCGGTTCGTTCACCTTTCGTCACCTTCCTGTTGTTATTCATTTAAACGCCCACAATATAATAGTTCTTTAATTTACCTCAATCCTTCATCAATCTTCTGCTCGTGTTGTGTGTGATTCACAGTTCATATCAGACAAAGACTAGTTAAGTTTTCTCCTCAAGAGAAGAGGGGGAAAAAAAAAATCTCTTCGCGAGATTAGTAATGTCTCTTGCGTCAGATGCACGCACACGCATGTATGTATGTCCTAGATAACAAATTTGCTTCACAATTCCAGGAACTACAGCAAGGCAATGGGAGTTTGGGAGTTGCAGGACTGGGAGGGATGCAAGAGCCGTCCCACTCGTTGAAGATCAAGCAGGAACCGTTCCAGGTGTCCCCGTCGTCGCCCCTTCCGCCTCTGCATCAAGGTAGGTGCCTCCTAACGAAAGAACCTTCTAAAAAAACGCGATCATTGACGAAAGACCGGCTGACGTCATGCCGGGATCCACCAATGATCCGCGGTATCTGAAAATCGCGTTTCTAATAATATGAAACGGCGCTCCGAGTGTCGCGTGACTCTGCGTACGATGAAAGGAGCGACGGGGGGACGAAAAGTCCCGGCCGAAAGTAATCTGAAGGAAGACC